CATCCAGCCAGAGGCAGAGTTGAACTCTCCGCGCCGTTCGCGGGGCCGGGGAGCAACGGTGCGAGGGTCACTAACGGCGCACCGCCGGGCAGTCCCCACTCGCACCGCGCCCCCCGATGACCAGGAAAGAGGAGTCGCCGAACACGGCCACGACGCCCCTACCTGTGTCGAGCACCCGCTGTGGCTAAAGCCCCGCCCGTTTAGCCGCTTGCACTCCACCGTCAGCAGCGACCAGAGAGCGAATGTCCACCTGTGTGGCCGCCTTGCCCACCTCCTCCACCGACGCCTCGGTAGGTGAGCCTGCTGTCGCGCTCCCTGGGCTCGCCGAAGTCCCTGTTCCAGACTCGATCCCACCTGTGTCCGATGCTTGTTCCCCATCATCAGCCGTGCGTCGACGCTTCGATTGGAGGCGCTTGAGATGCTCCTTGTGCTGGTCCTGGGCTGAGTTGGCCTTCTCCAGCGCTTGCCGAAACACCGAACCAAGTACCTCTTGCAGCTGCTTCGCCACGTCGTTCTTGCGCTCCTCGAGTTCGCGAAGGTCATCCTCGGACACCTCGTAGCTGCCCTTGACCGCCTCCACGTCAATGAAATCGTCGCAAGAAATAAGGCTAGCCAGCTCCATCTCCCCGTCGATGAGCTTGCGCAGGCTGATGCTCGCGGGGCCTCTGGACTCCGTCGCTGGTGGTCCTTTGTGCTGGCTCTGGAGCTCCACCAAGGCGGCTGCCACCTCGCCATCGGCGGCCTGCAGCTCGTCAGCCAGGGTCCCCACCGTGGCCGCCAGCTCGTCAGTAGCTCGACGCCAGCGCTGCAGCTTCTCGAACTCGACCTTGAGGCGCTTCTCCAGCTTCTCCTGCTTCTGCTCAGCAGCCACGAGCCGCTGCCTCCCCGACGGCTTCGGGGGTGGAGCCGCCCTCTGCGCCAGTGCTCCATATCGCGCGGCCCCTGCAGCGTCCCCAGCTTCCCGAGCCAAACGCTGTAGTTCGAGGGCCTTGGCCTGAGGAATCTCGGGAACGGGTCCAGGAGGGAGAGCAGAGGAGAGGTTGCCAGCGCCTTTGCCACCGAGAGGATCACCCTTGCCGACTTTGTATCCTTTCTTCCCCTTGCTCGCTCCCTTCCCCGACTCATCCGACGACTTGGGGCCACCAGAGTCTTCCAGAGGTTGGGGTCGTGTACCGAGCTTCTGTCCACAATGCTTGCAGCACATCGATCCTTTAGAGTTCTTACGGCAACCGCAGTGGTGGCATAGAATTTCACCTTTGGGACCCGCCACCGTCTTCCATACTTCCTCGTGCTTGGCTCGCTGGCCGTCCCAGGACTCCCACTTGGCAGCCGATGAAGCCCCGCCCTCAGGTATGGTGCCCCCCCAGCGACGGGGCCTGGAGGCCTGAACCCACGGTCGGCGCTCCCACTCGTCAGAGCCTGCAGGAGCCATGGCGCGAGAAAGAGGAAAGGGATGATGGAGGCTCGCGAACCCCTCGACTGAGGGACCTCCTGAAAGGTTGATAACTGCCGCGGACTAGCGGTATCCGTTTTTGCCAATGCGGGCTCAGCCCGCCAAAGCATGGGTCTTGAGCCAAAATGGCTACGGAGGAGGAGGAGGAGGAGGAGGAGGAGGAGGAGGAGGAGGAGGAGGAGGAGGAGGAGGAGGAGGAGGAGGAGGAGGAGGAGGAGGAGGAGGAGGAGGAGGAGGGAGGAGGAGGAGGAGGAGGAGGAGGAGGAGGAGGAGGAGGGAGGAGGAGGAGGAGGAGGAGGAGGAGAAGTGCCCCTGGCCCAGGGTGCCCCCGGGATTTCCAAGGAGGCCCCCCCGGCCGCCAGAGCACCCCCCCACGAGACCCCCAGGCCCCGACGGGGCTCCGAGATGGCATGAGAAGCTGGGGGCGCCTCTGGGCAGGGGGAGATTCTAGCAATCCACGATGCTGGGCAGGCTTCTGCGAGTTTTTGGTCAGCCCCCACCCCCCCTTCGTCTCTTCGTGCCCCGTCGCATGCACCATCCCTCCCACATCCGAAGCTTTCTGGGCCGCGTCGTCGGGCCCCAGCGGCCATCAGAAACAAACTGCTCCGGCGCGTCAAGCTGCCCTCCGTGGACGCGGAGAGGGGTCGGGTCCTCTGGGGCCGCGCATTGAAAGGTCACGTCGGCGGATGCCTGGGACCACCAGCGCGAGGAGCCAAGGGGGGGGGGCCCTCCTGGTGAGGTCCCAATGCGAGAGGCCTCCCAGAGAGGGTCCGAGCAGATGGGGTCCGAGGATGGCGCCGCGTCGCCAAGGCATCGCCGATGCATCGGCGATGCGTCGGCGACTTCGGCGATGCATCGGCACCGCGGGTGTGCAGAAAAAAGCGGGCTCCACGTCGAGCCGCATCGCCGACGGCGATGCGGCGCGATCCTCCGACATCATCTGCTCTGACCGCATCTGGGAGGCCTAGAGATGCCTCGCTCGAGAGGCCTCTCTGGTCTCCAGCCTCGGGAAGGCATCGTGGGCCTCCTCCTCTTCGCCGGCGGTGGTCACTCTATGGTGGTGGTGGTGGTGGTGGTGGTGGTGGTGGTGGTGGTGGTGGTGGTGGTGGTGGTGGTGGTGGTGGTGGTGGTGGTGGTGGTGGTGGTGGTGGTGTCGCTGCCCCTGGGCTCGGCGCCGACACCGCCGCCGTCGCCGAGCTCGTCGAACATGGCGACGACGACGACGACGACGACGACGACGACGACGACGACGACGACCGACGACGACGACGCCGACGACGACAGACGACGACGACGACGACGACGCAGACGCCGACGCCGACGCCGACACCGACGACAGACGGCAGACGGCAGACGGCAGACGACAGACGGCAGACGATGACAGACGGTAAACGGCAAACGGCAGAGACGACAGACGACAGACGACGACGCCGACGTCAGACGAAATACGACAGACCAAGACGAAGACGCCGACGCCGACGCCGACGCCAACGACGACGACGCCGACGACGATGACTACGACGACGACGACGACGCCGCCGCTGCCGACGACGACGACGACAGACGACAGAATACGGACAACAGACGACAGACGACGACGACGACAGACGCCGACGCCGACGACGACGACGGCGACGACGACGACGACGGCGACGGAGACGGCGACGGCAACGGCAACGGCGACGGCGACGGCGACGGCGACGACGACGCCGACGCCGACGCCGACGCTGACGCCGACGCCGACGCCGACACCGACGACAGACGACAGACGGAAGACGGCAGACAGCAGACGACAGGCGACAGACGACGCCGTCGACGGACGAAAGACGACAGTCGACGACGAAGACGCCGACGCCGACGCCGACGCCGACAGCGACACCGACGACGACATGCAGCCGCCGCCGACACCGACGACGACAGTCGACAACGCCGACGACGACAGACGGCAGACGACTGACGGCAGACGACGGACGACGACGACGACGGCGACGGCAACGACGACGACGCCGACGACGACGCCGACGACGCCGACGACGCCGACGCCGACGACGACACCGACGACGCCGCCGACGACGACAGACGGCAGAAAACGACAGACGACGACGACCGACGACGACGCCGACGACGACAGACGACAGAAAAACGACAGACGACGCTGACGACGACAGACGACGACGACAGACGACAGGCGACCGAAAACGACGACGACGACGGCGACGGCGCCGACGGCGGCGACGAAAACAACGACAACGACGACGCCGACGCCGACGCCAACGCCGACATCGACGCCGAGGACGACAGACGACAGGCGACAGACGGCAGACGGCAGAAGACAGACGACAGGCGACAAACGACGACAACGATGACGACAACGACGAAGACGCCGACGACGACGACGACGCCGACGCCGATGCCGACGCCGATGCCGACGACGACACCGACGACGACGACGACGACAATGACGACAGACGACGACGACAGACGACGACGCCGACGGCGATGGCCACGGCGACGGCGACGGCAACGGCGACGGCGACGGCGACGGCGGACGCCGACGCCGACGCCGACGCCGACTACGCCACCGCCGCCGACAACTACGACGCCGTGAATGACGACAGACGAAATACAACAGACGACAGACGACGACACCGACGACAGACGACGACGACGACGACGCCAACGCCGACGCCGACGACGACGCCGACGCCGACGACGACGACGACGCTGACGCCGATGCCGACGACGACAGACGGCAGACGGCAGACGACAGACGACGACGGCGTTGGAGAAGACGACGACGACGACGACAGACGACGCCGACGCCGACGACGACGGCGATAGACGACAGACGACGCCGACGCCGACGCCGACGCCGACGCCGAAAGACGATAGACGACGGACGACAGACCAAAGACAAGAAGACGACGACGACGACAAACGACAGACGACAGACGACGACGATGACGGCGCCGACAACGACGACGGCAAAGATGACGACGCCGACGCCGACACCGACGCCGACGACGACGACAGACGACAGAGGACGGACAACAGACGACAGAGGACGACGACGACGACGACGACGACGACGACGACGACGACGACGACGACCCGGACATCCGACGCCTCGAACAAATCGGCGAGGCCAGCGTGTTGCCGTTGTTCTGGCCTCTGGAAGCTAGCTCGAGGCCGCGGGGCCGTCGATAAGAGGCCCCCGGACCGACGGAGAGCGGTCCCCGGTGACGCCCGGGGCGGTCGAGCAGTCGGACGGCCCTACTTCCTCAAGGAACTCTTGCGCTCAGGGGGTCCTGCCCCTTCTCTGCGGAACTGGGCCAGTCTGCCGGCGTGGCGGCCATGTGGCCGCCGTCGCCGTTCCGTCGCCGCCTCGCCGCCGTCCGTCGTCTGGGCCTGTCTGCCGGTCTGGCGGTTCCGTGGCCGCCGTCGCCGCCCCGTCGCCGCCCGTCGTCTGAGCCTGTCTGTCGGTCTGGCGGCTATGCTGTCGCAGTCGCCGTACACCGTTTGGGGCCCACTCCGGCTCACATCTCTTTCCGAAGCAGGCGTTCCACAAGCAAAAGTCCGCCGTGACATCGCAGGCCGCGGGGCGCCGTCGCGCTGACGGAAGAGGAAGCGAGGAAGGGGCGGGGACACTGTGCGACGAGCCGCTGCGGCCCAGCAGGCCACTTCCATAATTGAAAACGCCACACAGCGGCAGCCCAGGAGGGAAGAGACAGGAGGAGACAGAGGGGGGAGAAGAGCGAGAGCGACAATCCGCAGCGGCCAGGGGCACGAGCGGAGAGGTCCAGGGACCTCATATTGAAAAATTCGCCATCGCCATCTCTGGGACGCCGGCGACATCTTCGCTTCGGCGTCGTATGGAATGTTTCTGCGACACCGCTGGACGAGGCTCGAGCAACTGGCCACTATGGACTCTGGGATGGGTCCGGGGGCCGATGCTGAGAGGATTTTCAGGTATGGGTCCGTTGTCAAAGTTAACGTCCTCGAAGTCGCCCTTATCGACGTCGCGGTTGTCGACGTCGCCGTCATCGAATCAAGGGGATCTCGACGAAGTACTGTCATCGCTGGCAGCGTCGTCGTCATCTTTCACGTCGAATTCGCAGAATGCGTCGAAGGCTTCGTCGAAGTCGTCGGCGTGGCCGTCGCCACCGTCGTCGTCGTCGAAGTTCGCGTTGAAATCGTCATCGTCGTCTTCGCCGTGTCGAACGCGCAGACTTGTTCGAATTCGGCGTCGAGGCCGCCTTCGTCGACGTCGTAGCCGACGCGTCGCAGGGTGCATCGAATCGTCGTTGTTGAAGGGGCCCCAGGACACACAAATAAATACACACAAATAAAAACATTCACCACATTTTCCCATATTTTCTGGGCTTCTGTCTTCCCCCCCACTTCCCATCTTTTCCCATGTTTTCCTGGGGATCGACGATTGATTGTGTCCGTGTGTGTTTTCCCCTCCTGAGTTGTCGGTGTCGCCATCGCCGGCGTCGCCGCAAAAGTCGTCGTCGCCAGCGTGCGCAGACTCACCTGGCCGCTCACACCTGCGGCCGCGTCTGCACCACGAAAAACCTGCCGTCCTTGTAGCACCCCTCGATATCCTGCGGCGCGCCGCCGTACACGCCCTCCACGTCGACGGCGACCTTGGCGAGGCCGCGCATCAGCTCCTCTGATGGGCCTGTTTTCCACCACCACCACCATGAGTTGGAGGGGGAGGGGGTCCTCCTCCTCCTCCTCCTCCTCCTCCTCCTCCTCCTCCTCCTCCTCCTCCTCCTCATCCCCCCCTCCAACTTATGGTGGTGGTGGTGCAAAACAGGCCAGTCATCCTCGGCGAAGGCCTTGTCCGTCACCAGCCTCTCCTTGTAGTACTGGAGCGTCCGCTCCGAGTTGGTCACCATGGGGATCGAATCGTACAGGCCGGCGCCGGCGAAGCCTGGAAGGTCCTCGCCGTTGGAGTCCGAGCGGAAGATGAGCCCGCCGCCGAAGAGCCCCGTGCTCTTCGAGGGCAGCGACTGGACCTCCGGCGCCGCCGACATGTCCTTCCGCATCTGGAAGCCGAGCGCGCGCCCGGGGAAGTTGCCGACGAGCGTCTCGCCCAGGCCGACCACCACCTCGCCGTACATGTAGGCCGCGTCGTTGGTGGACGGGTTCACGGTGTGGAGCACGAAGGCGTACTCGGCCTCGACGAGGCGCTGGACGAGGACGGCCATCTGCACGAACTCGATGCCGATGCCGGCCTTGCTGCAGGAGAAGTAGGCCCGGTCGTTCCACTTGGAGGCCCACACGCCCTTGAGCGCCTGGAAAGCGTCGTCCCAGTCGCTCCCCTCCAACTGGCCTGGCTGTATGATCTCCGAATCCACCAAGGCCTGTTTGACGGCCTCGACCATCTCAGACGGGGCCTCGAGGCGCATGATGCACATCCGGAGCTCTTCCAGCACCTCGAGAGGAGTGGCGGAGGAGTGGAGCTCCTCGTCGACTAGGCGCTGGTACTCCTCGGCGACTTCCCTGTTGTCCCCGTGCGCCATGACCTTCTCGAACACGCCGAAAGGGATGACGGCGGAGCGGGGGGTCTGGATCCAGTCTGGGAGCGTGCGCCGGGACCTGACGATGTTCGCCGACTTCGCGCCGAAGATCTTCGGCCGGGCGTCGGGGTCTAGAGACCATGTTTTTATAATTCGCGATAACGCCCGTCACAGGCGGCGCCTTCCCCTGGTAACGTCATGATTCGCGCCGGCGGCGTCTGGGAATGCTTTGAACAATTGCCTTGCTGCTAGGGCTGACATGCAAATAAAAAAAAATGACATACAAGTGCGCTGTTATTACTTCTACGACTACTACTACTACTACTACTACTACTACTACTACTACTACTACTACTACTACTACTACTACTACTACTACTACTACTACTACTACTACTACTACTACTACTACTACTACTACTACTACTACTACTACTACTACTACTACTACTACTACTACTACTACTACTACTACTACTACTACTACTACTACTACTACTACTACTACTACTACTACTACTACTACGACTACGACTACTACGACTACGACTACGACTACTACTACTACTACTACTACTACTACTACTACTACTACTACTACTACTACTACTACTACTACTACTACTACTACTACTACTACTACTACTACTACTATACTACTACTACTACTACTACTACTACTACTACTACTACTACTACTACTACTACTACTACTACTACTACTACTACTACTACTACTACTGATACTCCTACAACCAGTACTGTTACTACTACTACTACTACTACTACTACTACTACTACTACTACTACTACTACTACTACTACTACTACTACTACTACTACTACTACTACTACTACTACTACTACCACTATTTTTTTTTGGGAGGGGAGGAGGGGGAACGGACACATCAGCACGATGACACACTCGTTGACGCCAGTGAGCTACCTCAATCGCCGCGCAAATGATGCGTCCAGCCACGTAGGTGAGCAGTCCAGCGAGCGATGGCGTATATGAATCGTCACCGTGCGGCGGCAGGCGCAAAACTGAAAGTACAAATCGCGAAGTATCGCGGGGAATTGAAACACGGCGCAATCCAGGGCACCGGGCATGGACACGGACGATCGCGCACCGTGCACAGCCAAGGGAGGCAGAGACGGAGGGAGAGCACAGAAACTAGAGCATAAAACCACCATGCGAGCGGGAACGATACGAATACACCCCATTTCGTATCGGTGAGACCGGGCGGGGAAGAGGAGGACGAGCAGGAGAGGAGGGGGGAAGCGCGAAGGCGAACGCTGGAATATAGCAAAACTCATGATTATATATAAGCCGCATTGCCGGCGAGGAGTTATGCATCACATAACATCCGTGGAAGTCATCCGCTGTCACAGACGGCGGCCAGGCACAAACGCGCAGTAACATATTAGGTCACAAAGTGCTCCACTTGCAGCCCTTATGGCTGCCCAGCCCAAGCTGGGGGAATAACCAAAAACTTCCACATCCACCGAGGAGGAAAAGGCGAGAGGACACGACCAACGACGACAGAAGAGGAGGGAGGAGAGCAAGAGAGGAGGGAGCGGGAAGGGGACGAGGGCGAAAATGCGTTCCTGCCGAGCGTCCTGGGCCTTGCCGGCCTCAAGTGCCCCGGTGGTCAGGCTGCCCCGTGTGTGCCCGGAAGCCACTGCCACGGAGGTGGGCGGACAAATCGTGCCCCCCCTCGCCAAAATTCTGGCCGGCCCCACAAAACGGCACTGCGACAGCAAAAGCTATGTACCACTGGATTTCCTGAGAGTGGCCCGGGAGGGGGGGAAAGAAGGAAGCGGAGGAGGAGAGGAAGGGAGGAGGAGGACGGGGGGCAAACAATTTGTGAACGCGCGCGGCGGGTGCCTCAAGGAAAGAAGGCCCAGTTGACCACGTACACGAAGAGGTGAACGAGGGCCCAGGTGGGAACGAACGCAAACATGCTGAGGTCGCCGATCCACCCGTTGCCGAAGCAGCCATTCACATCGGTGGAGTACAGGTGGTGCAACCAGTCATTGGCCCACAGCCGCACGAACAGGGAGTGGCCCACCTCGCCGAGAGAAGCCACCCATGCACAATGCGACGCTGAAGTGCGAGCCGCCCGCTACCGGACCCATGTGTCAGCCAGCACTCGTCGTAGTCGAGGGTGTCCGGCGGCCGCCTCGCGCGCGAATTGCGCGAGCGCCTCTGCTGCGCTGCTGGTGCCTCCGTGGCGTTTGGCGCAACTGGCCGAATGAGCAGCATAGAGCAGGAAGGCGTCGAGGCGATCAGCGACCGGAGCACGCGGGAGGCCGAGCTTCCGTCTGGCAAAATCCATCACTACCGGACACGCCGCGTAATGTTGCAGGGAATCCTGATGGTGGCCACATCCGAAAATGCAGGGGCCATCTTCGCCAAATCGACTTCTCGTAACCCATCCGTTGCAGAGCGCGCGGAACGTAGCAAACCAGACCCTGGGAGGGACGTCCCGGGCAAGACCACGCAGAAGCCGAACTGCGCGATCAACCTAGCGCCCAGGGAGGAGGAGGAGCGGGAAGTGGTCCATGTGTCGACGGAGTTGGCGAAAAAACAAATCCCGATCATCGCCCCCCAGGTGGAGTTGGGCCGTCCTCAGACGGTTTTCCCGTGGTTGAGCCGAAGGCCAGAGATAGCGCGGCATTATGTGAAGATGCTCTCCAGAATGCGCGCCTCGACGAAAGCGTTCGAGAGCACGACGGCAATGTCGTCCGCGTATGCCCGGAGCGTGATCAGCGGAGCCATGCGCAGGGCCCGCCGAGTGAGAACGTCCGAGATGACCGCGAAGAGCAGCGGCGATAGCGGACAGCCCTGCCGCACTCCAGAAGACAGCGTAAAACCGTTATTGCGGTGACCTCCAAGAGAAATACTGCACGCATTGTTCCAATAAAGGCCAGCCACGAACGTGCATATCCAGGGGGGCCACCCTTTAGCCTTCAGGACGTCGTGCAAGAAGTCGTGCGACACGCTCGGGAAGGCGGCCTCGAAGTCGAAGAACACTGTGGCAGCTGCAGGGAAAGCGAACGCATGTCGTAACATTGCGGCCTCCACGTCGACGACGTTGGCGAGCATCGACCGCCCCTTGATGAACCCCCGCTGCTCGCCGGCGATCCCCGGGGCGATCTGCGGCTCGATGCACAGCCGGACAGCGCTGCAGATGAACCGATTGTCGGCGTTCGCTATGTTGAGCGGCCTGGTGTTGGCGGCCTCGTACGCCAAGATGCCGTCCTCGGTCTTGCCGGAATGCTTTTTCGGCAAGAAGACCAAGGTGCTGGAATTGCAGTCCCGCCAGTCCTGGTCGAGAGCCTCCAGCGCGTCGTCGGCAGTGAGGGCGGAAAAGGCGTCGTACAAGATGGTAGTCCCGAAGTCGCCAAGCCTGCGCCATGCCCGGAAAGTAATGCCATCTGGGCCCGGCGCACTGTTCTTGGAGAAGCGCAAGGCGTTCTTGAAGTCCTCCCGGAAGGGCTTGTTGAAGGGGAGGTGTCTTGCATCTTCTGGCGCGCCGTGGTCTGCTTCCTCGTGCAGCCATTGGGATCGGAGGGCGGCGTCGGTGTGCTGGGCTGCGAATACCTTCGACCAGTGGTCCCGTAAGGTGGAGGCCATCGCCGAAGGGTCGGTGGTCGCGTGGCACTGCTACTACTCCTCCTACTACTCCTACCACTACTACTACTCCTCCTACTATTACTCCTACTCCTACTCCTACTCCTACTCCTACTCCTACTCCTACTCCTACTACTACTACTACTACTACTACTACTACTACTACTACTACTACTACTACTACTACTACTACTACTACTACTACTACTACTACTACTACTACTACTACTACTAGTACTAGTACTAGTACTACTAGTACTAGTACTAGTAGTACTACTAGTACTACTATACTACTAGTTCGACTAGTACTACGAGTACTACTCGTACTACTAGTGCTAGTACTAGAACTAGTACTAGTACTAGTACGAGTACTAGTACTAGTAGTAGTAGTAGTAGTAGTAGTAGTAGTACTACTACTACTACTACTACTACTACTACTACTACTACTACTACTACTACTACTACTACTATTGCTACTAGTACTACTACTACTAACTACTACTACTACTACGACTACTACTACTAACTACTACTACTACTACTACTCTTACTACTACTACTACTACTACTACTACTACTACTACCACTACGACTACTACTACTACTACTACTACTACTACTACTACTACTACTACTACTACTTACTACTACTACTACTGACTACTACTACTACTACTACTACTACTACTACTACTACTACTACTACTACTACTACTACTACTACTACTACTACTACTACTACTACTACACTACTACTACTACTACTACTACTACTACCACCACCACCACTACTACTACGAATTCACCTCCTCCTCCTACTAATACTGCTACTACTCATACTATCGGAGGAGGAGGAGGACGGGAGCGAAAGAGGAGGACGAGGAGGATGAGGAGGAGGGATGGAGGGGGAGGAGGAGGAGGAAGAGGAGGACGGATAGAGGAAAAGGGGGAGGAGGAGGAGGAGGAGGGGCAGGTGGAGGAGGAGGAAGATGAGGAGAAGGAAAGTACCGATCGAGGAAAATGAGCAGGAGGAGGAGAAGGAACAGGAGAAGGAGCAGGAGGAGGAGAAGGACGACAGGAGAAGGAGGAGGAGGATCAGGAGGCGGAGGAGGACGAGGAGGAGGAGGACGAGGAGGAGGAGGAGGGATGCAGGGGGGGAGGAGGAAAAAGGCCCAGGCTGCCGATGGCTCCCGACAGGGCCGCAACTCGGGGCAGGCTGGGGGACGGCGGCCGCGGCGACACCCAGCGAAGAGGTGCAACTCCTGCCACCCTCCGCGAGAAGGGGTCCAAAGCAGTGAAGCGTCCCCTCCCCCCCCGTAGAAATAGTATTCGTAGTGGTGGTAGTGGTAGTGGTAGTGGTAGTGGTAGTGGTAGTGGTAGTGGTAGTGGTAGTGGTAGTGGTAGTGGCAGTGGTAGTGGTAGTGGTAGTGGTAGTAGTAGTAGTAGTAGTA